TCTCGAACCCGCGGGCTCAGGCCATCCACTCACCTCAGCCTCCCAAAGGCGCGGGATGACAGGCGGAGCCACCGAGCCCGGCTGCTTTTGGCATTTAAGGCTGAACTTTCTCCCTACGTTTTTTGCTACTTCTATGTACTTCCTCATCATTTCCCTAACGTCATAGAAACTTCCAATCATTATAATAACTGTGGTGAGGAACAGACCTGTCTCTTGGGTAGAGAAGTTAATCTGGCCCCGGACATCCTGGGAAGTGTCTATGAGGAAGCCTTGTGGGGTATGTGCGGTGGTAGCAACATGCCGGTCATGTGACATCCCCACTGTCCGCTGAACCTGCCAAGACATTAAAGAGGAAGCAAAGCCCCTGCTACATCACTGAGAAACCAGCTGAGTGGCTGCCATCCCTCAGTCATCAGCACAAAAGTCTCAATCTGGAGTGGCACTGTCCAACCCCCTGCTGGGGCATGGAATTGAGTGAAGGATCTCTGCTTGTCACAGTGATGGCATGGTTGGGGCTGGTGACGGTGCGAGGGGCACAGCGGTACTGAATAGCCTGCAGTGTAGGAAACGGGACAGCAGGCATGGTGGCTCAAGCCTGTAATCCCAGCACTTTGGGAGGCAGAGGCGAGAGGATTGCCTGAGCTCAGGGGTTCGAGACCAGCCTGGGCAACTTGGCAAGACCTTGTATCTATAATAAATCAAAACATGAGTCAGGCATAGGCTGGGCTCAGTGGTTCAGCCTATAATCCCAGCACTTTGGGAGGCCGAGGCGAGTGGATTGCGTGAGCCTGCCGGTTCGAGACCAGCCTGGGCAACTTGTTGAGACCTTGTCTCTACAATAAAATAAAAAATACCTGGGCATGGCAGCACATCTGTAGTTCTAGCTACCCGGAAGGTTGAGGCGGAAGGATCGCCTGAGCCCAGCAGGTCAAGGATGCGGTGGCCATAAGTATGCCACTGCACTCCAGCCTGGGCAATAGAGTAAGACCCTGACTGAAAAAAAAAAAAGAAAAAAAAGAAACAGGTCAGCAGGACAAAGAATTGTCTAAGATGCCAACAGCACCCTCAGTGAGGAAGAAGACATATCTCGCTGGGCCCACACAGCTGGTGTGGATGAGTTAAACGTATGCTTCTGGCTGTAGAGTTCTTGAATGAACTTGCTTGGCTGCTGAGCTCCCTGGTGGTGTCCCAGATTTGGGCATCTGCTGCTTGGCAGCCCGTGCCGACATGGGCACTCCATGGACACTCATTTCCAAGCTGGATCTTGATAAGCCCAGGCTACAGTGAGATAATTAGTAGCTAATGTTCTAATATAAATTCAGAGATGTAAAAAAAAGCTCTGATAAGTTGATTTAAAATACATTTTAAGTTTCAGTGGAGTAAGATCAACATAGTCTATTACTATGTACACAAAAGTTAGAAAGTTAACAGGGTTCTAAGATAAAGAACAAAGGGAGTGAACAGACTAACTAATATTGAGCTCACTATTCTTAGGCAATGTGATATAAGAATACAGTATGGATAGAAGTACTTGACTTATGTATGAACAATAGATAACTTGAAAACATTTTACTTCCTGAAAAATTGGGTTTTTTCGGCTGAATAGGGAAAACTGGAGCTAGTGATTTCTCTAGTTTGTAAGAATTACCCCTCAAGGCAGGAAAGCAGATGTTGCTCCCCCACCCCTATAGACTAAAGCACCTTTTCTTTGAAAATTCTGGATCAGGCCAGGCGCAGTGGCTCATGCTTATAATCCTAGCACTTTGGGAGGCTGAGGTGAGAGGATTGCCTGAGCCCACAGGTTCAAGACCAGCCTGGGCAACTTGGCTAGACCTCATCTCTACAATAAATCAAGAAAAATTAGCCAGGTGTAGTGGCACATGCCTGTAGTTCCAGCTACTTGGCTGAGGTGGAAGGATCGCCTGCGCCCAGCAGGTTGAGGTTGCGATGGCCGTGAGCATTCCACTGCACTCCAGCCTGGGCAACAGAGTGAGACTGACTCAACAAAAACAAAACAAAACAAAATTCAGGATCATCTCCAAAGTGCCATATCCTCGTCGTTTTCATATTTTAAAAAAGTCTTCCCCCTGTCCTCAAATCTGAGTACAGGTAATGATTTCCTCTCCAGGGAGAGGCTTCCTGTCTGTCCCATGCCCTTGAGCACACTTCCATGGCCTCCAATTTGAGAACCATATGTTTGAGCTCCCGTTGGTGATTATCCGACAAGTTTTCAAGTGCAGGTCTATTCCATTAACAGGTGGGGAATCACAGCATCAGAAAGAAAACCAGAACTTGTTTTGGTCTAAAACCTAACTCTACAAAAGGAGGGAGGAGGAACCCCCAGCATGGCCCAAGGAGCCCACATACCTCATAACTGAAATAGAAGTATCCAGTCTGATGGGCAAATTGCCAGAAGCATTCTGCGCCTCCTGGAGGGATCATGATGGCAAAGTCATATCGATCAGCTCCACGGAAGAGTGGCTGGTCCCCAGAACCACTGAGGGGCTCTGTCTTCTGGCTCCTAGCAGAAGTCACTAGATTCAGAATCACCAGCCCAGCCCCGAAGAACAAAGGGGACATGCTGCTTTCTGGAGACTCCTCTGCAGTGAACTGCTTGCAGCCTAGTAGTTCAGACAACCACTAGGGTAATCATTAACTGCAAGTCACATTTAGGTCATTTTCAGTGCTACACATAGATAGTCCATAATAGAACTGCCATGATATTCCCATGGTTGGTTCACAGGAAGAGGTTTTGCTTTCACCTCAAAAGCTCAGTGGCTTGCCAAACCTACTTCATGGGTGCAAGACGAATCAGAAGAGATGTTTCCAACCATCTTTTGGGCTGTCATTTTTCAGCTCTTCCTTCTTGGGGATAAAATATTGGGTAAGTTTATTTACAATGAGCAGAATAGTTGACAATAGTTGGCTGGGGAGATTTTTCTCTCATTCATGTCAAATTGCTAGGCAATACCTCTTGTTCCTATAAAGCACGTCAGGGAACACCTGTTTGCACAGGTTTCTTTCTGCCCAATGCTACAACTCAGAGCAAAGCATAGCATGTAGCATGTAAGTGTGTGCACACGTTTAAATGCATGAACAGAGTGACAAGAAATGGTCAAAATCTCTTCACTGAGAAGTCCTCCTTGTTCTGCTACCTTCCTGCTGATTAATACATTCCTCTAAAGATATCTAAACTCCGCTTAGACTATTCTATTGTTCAGACCCTCGATCTTCCTTCTAATCATGACCTCTTCAGCACCCAAGGGGGGGAATCATGACTTCTTCAGCACCCAAGTGGGGGGCAAGCTATCTAAACCCCATTTAAAGGCTTATGTTGGGTCAGGCGCGGTAGCTCATGCCTATAATCCCAACACTTTGGGAGGCCAAGGTGAGAGTATTGCTTGAGCCCACAGGTTCAAGACCAGCCTGGCAACTTGGCAAGACTTCATCTCTACAGCAAATCAAGAAAAATGAACTGATCGTGGTGGCACAAACCTATAGTTCCAGCTACTTGGAAGGTTGAGGCAGAAGGATTGCCTGAGCCCAGCAGGTCAAGGCTGCAGTGGCCGTGAGCATGCCACTGCACTCCAGCCTGGGCAATAGAGTGAGGCTCCGACTCTCATAATAACAATAATAATAATAATATGGTTAACATTGTCCAACCCTCAATCTTCTTTTATTCATGACTTAATCAACACCTACTCATGGCAGGCATTGAGCTAAGAGATTTACATGCATCATATCTTATTCTCACAACAGCCCTACAAGGGGGTGGGGGTTACTGTGAGCTCTGGGATTAGAGATGTGGACACTGATATGCAGAGACTCAAGGGGCTGGCCACTCTCCCATGAGCATACCTGGCAGGGCTGGGCCCCAATGGGGCTCACATGCCTAACTACCAGAACTGTTTCTCAAACAGGCAGTCTCTGAATTCTGACTGTGTATAAACATTTTTTAGTCAAAATCTTTTTTTTTGAGTCAGATTCTCACTGTCACCTAGGCTGGAGTGCAGTGGCACACTCACAGCCACCACAGCCTCAACCTGCTGGGCTCAGGTGATCCTTCTGCCTCAGCCTTCCAAGTAGCTAGAACCACAGGTGCATGCTACCACAACTGGCAAATTTTTTGACTTATTGTAGAGACGAGGTCTCGCCAAGTTGCCCAGGCTGGTCTCGAACCCCTGGGCTCAGGCAATGCACTTGTGTCGGCTTCCCAAAGTACTGGGATTACAGGCTTGACTGCACCTGGCCCAGTCAAAAATCTTAAAACAACTTTAGTACCATCTAACCAAGAACTGCTTCAGAATTCACTGCATTGACTACAAGGTTCACAAGCTAATAAAGCAAAAACAGACTTCATGAGTATGGTCCAGCTCCAGCAAAAGCGATAGCAGCATCCCCACACCCTGGAGGCACAGTGGCTCTGCAGCAGTCGCACTACAGTGACAGGAAGAGAGGCTAGGATCACCTCTCAGCACATATGGTGCAGGCACCTTCCACCTGAGTCCCAGCAATTTGGATCCAGCAAAATAACGAGCTAATGGTTGTTTTTTTTTTTTCAGTTCATGGTAAGTTTTATAGTTCTATGGAAGCTGTAAGCATAGCTTTATGTTTGTTCACATTTCAGTAATGCTATAATAACCCTGATATGACAAAATATTAATAGGCAGGCATTTCTCACGTTTGAGAAACACTGATTAGGACATTTTGCTTCCCTAAATGCATCAGTTTCACTCTTCTACCTAGGTAGTCAGGTGATCCTCCTATCTTGGCCTCCCAAAGGCTAGAAATATAGGTGTGAACTACCGCACCCAGATGAGAGTGCCATCTAATGATGTGTGAGTGTTGAAGGGAGAAAATTGAATTCTGATCACAACCAGCTGCATCTAGAAGGTAGCTGGACCCAGAGAAGCCCAACTTCTCCCTGTGGTTTCACTTGGGGTTGATTGATAGAAAAACAGTAGTACTGAATCCCCAAACGCATAGTTAATAAAGCTGTAGTTTCCAACTTGTAACTAAAACATTAGCATTTCTTTAAACCTTACCTTTCACTCATTCAGAAGTGGGAAAGGGGAAATTCTTCTGACCCCAGAAAAAGTATGTTATATAAGGAAACTGAGGTCGGGTGCAGTGGCTTCTACCTGTAATCATAGCACTTTGGGAGGCTGAGGTGAGAGGACTGCTTGAGCCCAGTAGTTTAAGACCAGCCTAGGCAACATAACGAGACCTCCACTCTACAAGAAACAAAACAAAACAATGTAGCCCAGTGTGGTGGTGCCTGCCTGTAGTCCCAGCTACTCAGGAGGATGAGGCAGGACTGCTTGAGCCCAGGAGTTCAATGCTGTGGTGAGCCATGATTGTGCCACTGCACTCCAGCCTGGGTGACAGACTCCATATAAAAAAAAAAAAAAGAAAAAGAAAGAAAAAGGAAATTCACAACAGGAAACTTCCATCTACATCATCTGTTTAACATAGTTTCCGCGGATTAGAATGTCCAATATGGTCTGACATCAGCTTCCAGGTCAACAGTTCAGCAAAGTTTGTTTAACATTTTGCTACCTCCTTCTGTGAATCCATGCTCTGCTGTAATTAAATAGCTACTTATGTTGAGAGAAGCAAGACTTTAATGAAGAATGCTACAAGTATGGACAATAATTGGTTCTCATATTTTAAAAAAAGATTACAGAAAACACTTTACTGAAAGCTTTTGCTAAAAAGACAGTCTTTAAGGATGTCTGAGAGACAGCAAGCACAACACAGTACAAAAGGGGAAGGGAATGTTGAATTCCAAGGCAAGACACAAACACGGCACAATTAGGGAATCGGGCAGAAGCAGTCATTTCACAAAGAATGAAATTAGGCATTTATAGTCAACCAGAAGTTTTTTAAGCTTTAAAAATCCAGCATAAGGAAATGAATTAGGAAAAGAGGCACGGGGTAGGGGATGGGGGCTAAGCTTATCTACAATCACCATTTTACCAAAAAACACACTGGTTCAACCACATGAGAAGTGGAGGATAGACTTGCCCAGTAGCCAGCAGATATGAGGAATAAACACCAAGGCAGTTGGGTCTAGTCAATGTCACAACTGGTTCAACAGTTTCTAAAGAGAATCTTGTTCCACAAGGTCTCTCATCAACTTGGGCTCCAAACAAAGTGCCTTTGCATTTGCATCAGGAGGCCAAGACTTTACATGGAACAGGTGCACTCCAAATAATTCTCACCTTGCTGGTTTTAACATGTCATGGAGTCATAAGTGGCTCCTAACAGACTCCACCATTTCCTAGGAGAAGGTTCTACAGATTACCAGGGGTTTAAATTTAAGCAAACCACTAAAGAAGGGAAACACTAATGATATTCTGGCACTGTACAAGCTGTGTGCCTGTCATCTCTGCCAAGGACATGGGTGGACTTGGCTTTGCTTCTTAGCTCCATGATCTCCAACAGTGATGAAGTGGAACAGGGACCCCCCCCATGTCGAAGGAGGTTGCCCAAAATTCTCTCCCAGCTCAGCTTCTGAAAGAAACAGCAGACTATCAGGGGCTATTATTAGGAACCATGCTCCTGTGAATTCTGTGGAAATGAAAGCCTGTTTCAGTTCATGCCAAGTCTTTTCATGGTCCGCCAGCGATCCTTAATCATCACAGCTGTTCGGTTAACAAATGGGTAATTTTTAGAAATGGCAGCCCAGTTTCCTTCCCCGTATTTCTGCACTCCAGCCTTGACCCACTCGCTTTCTTCTACAGTCCACTTCTGCAAAAGAAAACCAAAAAATTTATGACAATCTTTCTCTCCATTTAGTTACATTATCTCTAATATAGTTACAGAGTAAAAAGAATCCTGCCGGGAGCAGTGGCTCACGCCTATAATCCCAGCACTTTGGGAGGCCGAGGCGAGAGGACTGCCTGAGCCCACGGGTTTGAGACCAGCCCGGGCAACTTGGATCTCTACAATAAATAAAAAAATTAGCCGGCCATGGTGGTACGTGCTTGTGGTACTTGGAAGGCTGAGGCGGAAGGATTGTCTGAGCCTAACAGGTCAAGACAGCAGAGAGCATGCCACTGCACTCCAGCCTGAGTGACAGAATGAGACTCCGACTCAAAAAATTAAAAAAAAAAGAATCCTAAGAGAATCACCTTACATGAACCTGTCAGGCATGGTGGTTCATGCCTGTAATCCCAGCACTTTGGGAGGCTAAGACAGGAGGAATGTTGAGTCTAGGAATTCGAGGATATAGTGAGCTATAATAGTGCTACTGCCTTCCAACCTGGGTGACAGAGTGAGACCCTGTCTCAAAAAAAAAGAAAACCAAAAGATTTATCACAACCTTTCTCTCCACTTATTTACATTTTCTCCAATATAGTTATGAAGCAAACTCAAGAGTCCTAGGAAAATCATCTGTCAGGCTTCTGTCCTCCTAGGTTATTCTTCCAGAAAATAACTATAACTTAGTTTGAATTATCCGAAAATCTCAAAAAAAAAATATTTTTACTGAGTGCATAGATAGTCCAGACGCCTATGAACCGGGGGCTTATTTTACCTCTGCTCTAATCATACAGTATCAGAAAAGAGAATTTTAAGTTACCTGCTTTTTTGTTACACTAGTTGTACTATCTTCTTCTGGTCCTGCTGGAAAACATAAAAAACAGACTTCAGAGTTCACTTTTCTTTGCACAAACCACAAGAAAAAAACATAGACTGTCCCCAAAGGGAAAACTTGATTCAAATTTCCAAACACTAAGATGAGAAAGGACATCACTAAAGGATAATTTATTTGTGTCCTCTGCAAACACCAGACATTTCAG